ATAAGATAAGGGCCTGTAGTGACAGGACCAGTGGTAATGGTTTTAAACTAAAAGAGGGTAGATTTAGCCTAGATAGAAGGAAGAATTTTTTTTTTTTTTTTTTTTACAATAAGGGTGGTGAAATACTGCAACAGGTTGCCCAGAAAGGTGTTAGATGCCCTATCCTTGGACACATTCAAGGTCAGGTTGGACAGGGATTTGAGCAACTTGATCTAGTGGAAGATGTCCCTGCTTATTGCAGAAGGGTTGGACTAGATGACATTTAAAGGACCCTTCCAATCCAAACTTCCCTACAATGATTCCAAAGCATACTAGAACTACTTATTCAGCAAGTCAGCTGGTATTTCAACATACTCACTTCATCAGTCCTATTCATGTTCTCTTCAAAGTCTTTAATTCCCATAATTCCTTTAAGGCACATAGCTTGGCAACCAACAAAACCTATTTGACAATCAAAGAAAAGTTCACCTTTCATAAGGACCTAGTGAGGAAAAAAAAAAGTGATATTTTGAATTCCACTCCAGGAGAAATAGAAAAGATGGTGAATAGTGAATTAAAATATATTTAGGTCTATATATATTTAGAGCTTTAGTCAATAACAATATAATCAAACACTGCACTCATAAGGAAGGATTATTTCAGAGTCTGACCAGTATAGCAATATAATTTAGACAATTTCTATCTACACGATTATTACAATAAACACATATAGTATAGCAGAATATGAAGAATCAGTAATAAAATAATTTAAAATTATGTTACGAGTAACTATTTACTGCAGTACTTATAATGAATCAAAAAACCCCTGTCAATTACCTCAACTGTGGTTCCTTCCTGTTCCCAGCATATAACTTCTTTGGATTTTACTTTTTGAGGGCTGTAATAACTACTTTCAGCTTGCATTTCAGTGAGCTATGAAACAATGGGATAAACATCTTATATAGTCAATATCAGTATTAAACAGCAGTCATGTCATTAATATATAGAACTGATGAAGACAAATTAAATTATTGGCTAAAATTTATTAACAAGCAGGAAACAGGTGCAGTTAAACAGCTGTAACGCATTATCCGTATTAGAACTTCTCATATTCAACTTATAATTGAAGTATGCCATAACAGAAAGTTTTAAACCCACTACAGTATTTTTATTTTGCTTATCTAAAGAGAAAATATGTGAAAAGATGGAACAGATACACAGCTGCATTATTAACATCGCATCAAATTAGATTATAAATTCATGTAAAAATCCATAAATACATTACTTATCCTTCGCAGCAAATAATTAAACAGCATGAAAATACTAAGAAAACATTTTGATTTCAACCATACTTCTTTATTGTCACGGCAGTTGAGATGAACATGCATTTATAAATTTTTTTATAACAATCACGCAAAAATTAAAGTGGTAAAACACATACATGGGTTAAAAAGCATATAACTTGCAGCTAAGGAAAAGGAGATGAGAGACACAAAACAATGAAGGTGCTATGTTTTGTATTAAAAAAACCCCTTAAGTTTGTTTAATATTGAGCAGCTTAAATAGTTGAAATTCTAATTTATATTTTAAAATATCCACAAGCATTCATTATTTTCAATAGTGGATACACATGGATGCTGTTTCAAGTTCAAATTTTGTAATCCAAATGTCCAAGCAAACTGGATTAAAAAAAAGAATATCACTGATCACCCTTCAGCTGTGTGCAATTACTGTAAAGGAAAAGCAATTAATTGATTAAAAGAACTCAGACATTACAAGCATCATTTTCACCATTACTAGAAAATGCTACATTTAATTTAGCATGATTTTTAGGTGGAATGTTATCGAGTGTTCAGAATACTAATGCAGAAACTTGACCTTATTTTTTAACCAATATGAACCACAAATCAATTCCATACATTCTTTGCATACAGGCAGAACAATGAATTCTGTTTTCCTCCTAACTGTCACCATATTAGCATCACACATCACTTAACATTTAAAATTTATACGATGTAAGATCTTACATTTTAAGTAGTTTTTAACCACTTCCTAATATAAAATGTGTTAGCTTCCCAATGAAACATTAAGAAAGCCCAATCCAGCAAATGTTCAAAAAGAGAAGTTAATATTATTTTTAATGAATGTTCTCACAGGAGGAAAGAGCGCACAAAAGGCGCAAAAAAAAGAAGCTGAGCTGCAATAAATGAGAAATTTGAGTTTTGGTTGGTTGTTCAGTTTTTCTTAAATGGTGTCCCAAGGATGTAATTCAAGGAGAAAGGCTAAAAATAAGTAATGGAAAATCTATTCTGTTTGTTGGGTGTTTTTTTGTTGGTGGTGGTGGTTTTGGGTTTTTTTAAATAAAGGCTGAAGCAGATTGACACAAATGAAAATACCTGAATGTCTGTTGACGCTTTATGTCCTCAAATTTTGCAGCCAAATCTGTCAGAAGATTGGAGGCTTAAAACATTAACCTCCCCACAGAATGCCTGCAGCTTCCCAAGCCACTTGTCTCATCCTTTCTGACAGTTGCTGAGCAGCTAACTGCCCTGCTATGCCACCAAACAAAAATAGCTTAAGAGAAAGTAGCCACGAAGCCCCTCGAAACACATATGAATAGATGACAAGCCAAACGGGCAGAAAAGGGACAGGGAGCTGCTGGTGGTATTGAGTGTATAATCAGGTGCATATACCTTATAGGAGGGTTAAGTACTGCAGTTCATTTGAAAGGTTTAAAGTCATAAAAATCAACCTCAGTTATTCTGCTGCTCAAAAAAATAGTATTATGTCCTGTTCTGAAGAGTTCTGGCCTTGATTTAATATATGTTTAACTAGAAAGAGGCTCTTAGTTTTATATGATATTTATGTACATAGAATTGCTTGCAGATAGTTCCACATGTGTAAAAAGTATTTTACTAATTCAGAACTGTAATTCTTAATTTCTGTCCGTACATCTCAGTATCTTTTTCAGACTCTCCATACTCCCTTCTGCAGCTTACAGAAGGATTAGAGAAGCCCTGCAACTATTCCTAACTATTGTAAACAAATTACATTTGTTTACAGCAAATACTCAAATCTTTCTTTCCATACATAGTTTACAGCTCAGAGTATGTGTGTAATTTATTCTTCACTTCTTTAATTCAATTTCAACCCATGGAAATAAAAAAATTCAACATTATCAATTTAAAATTCATATTTGCACATATTATGGTTTAAGAAAAAGAAAAAAACATTCCTCCAATTCACAAGCTATATGAAGCTAAAGCTTTTTCTATCAAGTGTATTTATATAAACATTAGTTAGATAGAATACTGCAATAAACATTCCAAGAAAGACTTTTAAGCTTTTTCTCCCATCAAAAAAAAAGAAATCTAAATAAATCAAGTGGTTTCCCTTTAAAATGAAAATATTTGTACTCAAATTCTATCTCAAATAGCAAACCACCTCACATTGGAATTAAAAAAACATTATGATGCAAGAGGAACTTCCAACATTCACATTTTTTCATAATCATTAATGGAATATTCCATTACATTTTCTTACTCATTAATGTAATCAGGAAGTAGACAAGCACTCAGATAATCTTCACACACTTGCTCACCAAGCCAAATAAAGCTTGTACAACACACAGAAATACTTACCTTAAAAGTCACTGTTGCCTTTGTACAGTAAAACCCAATTGAAATAATGGGATCCTTGAGGGACTGAGATTTCTGCTGATGTAGCGTCGTTCCATCATCAGTTCCAGCAAAATCATTCTCTTCATCATCGTAACTCACAATAGCAGGAACAAAAGACCAAGCCCAAGACACCCATCCTTGTTGCTGGTCCTCATCTTGATGCAAATAAGGATCTTGATTAATATACTGTGCTGGATATTGCATTACTGAGCTTGTTTCATCTTCTGCACCTTTTAAAACAAAAACCAAGTCAAATTTCTAATCAACCATGCTTTCAAATTAATATATTATACTCAAAATAATAGTATGTGGAATTTACCCAGGGCCCTATTCCACCTATCATTCACTGATGTTTGATTTATAATGACAGAAATTAAGTAGAAATTTTAAATTTCTCAGTTTCTAACCACTCGTTAGATTAATTACAGTATGAGACAGAAGACAAAGAGGAAGATGCACCTGTCTTGTGTCGCTAAATTAAAACTACTACAACCATTATGTAATCAACCAAACTTTGGAACAAATTCACATCAGTCTAGTAAGCAATGCACAACATCCTCTAAACAATTCAAAGTATAAATATAATGTTAATTCCTTTATAACAAGTAATGCATGAAAAGGAACGTGTACTTTGGAAACACAAAGCTGCTTCAGTTTTAACTAACTACACCAACCACTGCATCAATCGTAAGCGTACAGGAGAGCGAAATATAACAGTAAACTCCTTGTGTTTTACAAATATGAGTTGGTCAAAGGACAAAATGCTCCTACTCGTCAGGTTTCTCAATACACTCTTGCTAGCTATCCACACTGGAACAATCTTGCTTCACAGCGTAGAGCAGTGACTCCAGTTAAGAAATACATTTTACATAAATTACAAGATTGCAGTGTGACTGTATCTCTCTGTTTCCATGTTAAAGTTTGATAGTAAGAAATTCACCATCCTTTATTTTAAAGGGTTTGAGATGCTTACCTCTAAGAGTCTGGAAACTGGTATCTCTCACCCTAAGTCTGGAACTAACCCAGTAGAAAACTACTCTCTTTGTATTTATTTATTTTTCTGCCTGTATTAGATTTGACCAGTAAGGCTAATCTAGCTTAGCCTGTGGTTAGATAAATACAAGTGCTCCTATAGGAAGAGAGCTGGAATGATCACCATCCCTGACGGCAACAGCCTAAATTTTCACCTGGGTGAATCAACCATGAAACTGCATAAATGAAACTCAGTAAGTACTTCAAGAACCCAGGTGTTGATATTCATTCCTGTATCACTAAATAATGTAGATATTAAAATTAATTTCCTCATCTATATTTTTACACACTAAAAACTTCAGAAGGTACTGCAAACTCACAGCTAAGACAACATCATTAATTACAAGTACAAAATTTATAGAATAAAATGTTAGAAAAAAAAAAAGAAAATTTAAGTAGCAAGAGATATTTGGCTGATAACAGTTTTGGTGATGACCCTGAGAATGCAATAGCCCTTAAATTTGTCCTTGCTGCACAAACTGTCCTTGGAGAATCTCAAATGTAAGAACACAGATGCTTTCAGACTAATAAATATTTTCTGAATGCGTTCCCTTTGCATATATTTATTATATATAAGGAATGCACAGAAATCACTAACGTACAGAAAAAAACCACAAGTTCGATGTCTGCAAAAGTTCCCCCAATATATTTATACCATTCATTTGCTGTGTTGCCAAACTGAATTTTAATTGAAAGATGCTCATTCTGGATCTATACCTTCGAAAGACAATAAATTGACTGCCACATGATAACTCATGGTATTTACTATGCTGGTAGCTTAAATTCTGATGTTTAACCAGTTATACTTCACAGTACATATTAAAAAAACAGTGCCTCCTGATTCATTAGACACCCATTACAGTAGCACAGCAGTATCTATGAAGGATGTTTCACATAACTGGAGGTGATACCAACACCAGCAAAAACTAAATCCTACGTACCAAACTCTAGTCCGAAAGGTCTTCTGCATCTCCTTTTAAAAGCAAATGTACCCCCCAATATTTCATAGCTGAAAGAATCTGATACCATCATAACTGTAGCATGGGTGCAATTTCACAACAGTCACTCACTCAGATGACAGCATTTTTACACATTTAAGAGGTATCAACACTTGCATTGTACAAGACAACCCACTACAGTGATTCAGGTAGCCACGAATCAGTACTGCAAAATAGTAATGCTTCAGGGTTTCTTCTTATTTCTGCATCAAGAACACCATCTTCCTTAAACTCAAACCTCAGGATCCTACTAGACCAGAATACACGTCCACCTTACAGACAAACGTAAATCAAGGGAAGAAATCGTAACACCCGTTTACTGCTGAGTTGCACAGCACACTGAACATGGAATGTGACTGTAACACATAAAAGCTTCAGGTTCAACTCTAGAGAATCCACTTTTTCATGCTGTGTACCTCCACCTATTAAACAAACCTCCTCAAGCTTCTACTCCTAGCTTACCTGTCTTGTCTTACTGTAAATTGAAACCACCCTAGTGAAGAACTGATGGATAAGGAGGGAAAGAATGAATCACCTTCCAAATTAGTTAAGAAAATTCCAAATAAAGAATGATGCCACAACAATTCATAAGTGCTGAAATAACACCCATAGTTATTCTAAAGTGCTCCCTATAATATTACTTGGGGTTGCTAATGAATTATTTGTATGTTCATATTATTTAAACAATATCCCAACCTCAGTAAAATTAGGAGCAGACCTACGAGTTAAATAAGGGTCAGCTACGAAGCAAATGGCAGTGATTTTAAAACAACAGAACCAGGACAAGACATAGGAGATCTATTTTGTCTTTTGATGGCAAAGGAGATTAAATAATATGAAATTTCACAAGGAAAGGTCAACTGCCTCTGGGTTGAGGTACAAATCACAGGACAATTAACCTTAAAGTGATACGGAAGTGTAGATACCCAATAGGAAGAGGAAGGTGTTAGTTGTCTGACAATGACAACCCAAAAGTGGTTTTGCTTTATATCCCACATTCCAGTTCAGGCGGATCAACTGGAAATTCAACAGAAAGCATTAAAAAGAAGTTAGATTGATTTGCCATCTACATTAAGCCACTTAATAATCAGCAGCAGAACAACTGACCTAATATTTAAACTTCTTTGTAATAGGTAAAACCAAAAGGTCAACCTGTGACTGACTTTCAAAGATTTAAGTAGATCCCAAAAAAATCTGACTGAGAAGCATTATTAATGTTTTTCAAGAAAAAAGAAAATGGCAAGACAACATAAAATAGATATTTAAAAGACATTCATAAAAATCCAGTCTCCACAAAAAAGTTATAGCCCTAAGACAATAAAAATATTTCATATAAACAAACTTAATCTCTCCAATTTAGGAACTTGAGAATTTGGGAAGATTTATCTTTACTCATTTTAATTTGCTACTCGTATTAACTGCTGCTCATTTAAGTGATGTTAATAGATGTAAGCAATTCTATGTGCCTAAACATGTATTCCAAAACAATGAAATCTGGCTATCTCCATACAATGAACTCGATACCCATCCTCAGCATATGGGACCTCATCAGCCAGTTACAATGCGCTGTTACAGATGTCTACAGCCAAGTTACTCACTGTCACCCTGGCTGTTAGAGAGCTGCACAAGGCACTGACTCCATAAACCCCATTCCACAGTTGCCTGTCTAGCCTGCAGCTTTACAGTCTGCTGGAATATGAACTGCAAGTATACATACTGTTCCTTGGGAGTACCAAGGTATATGGGCAAGAAGAAGCTTCAATAACCGAACTAGATGACTGGATGAGGGGGAGGAAGACGACTGAGGTTTACTGCACAGGACATTTACCCCACCAAACACATGGAAACATAAAGAGCTGAAAGAACATTACGTACCCCAGTACAAAGATCATACGTGTATCTCCATCTCTTTAACCCTCAAGAGAAGTCAGACAGAAAGTGCAGGAACAAGAAAAATACACAGGAAAGTGTAATTTGACACACGGAACCTTTAATCCTGCCATCATTATTTCAGTCAAACTGGGGGTCATTTTCTCCACTGTTTAGGAATAACTCTCCCCTACCCAACCTCTAACAGAGTGCATGCACAGCTGCGATTCCTCAGTCAAATATGGATAAATCAATCTACTGCAGTTCTCCCATTTTTATCATAATAGAATATTGCAGAGTCTATTCCTTCTCCGACACCTAATGCCCACCTAGCTCTTGCTGTCACAAATTATTTGCACCTGGTTTGCTCAGTCAAATCAAATTTCATATTCAGCCCAAAGCTGGCAATATATTAAACTCCTTCTCTTGATCTACTTTTTGTTCCATTGATGTCCCAAATAATTCTCCATGCTACTGTTCTTACCACAAAGTGTTCAGTGAGGAGCATTTCAGCTCTATAGGATCTATGCAACATTTTATTCTGTTACTGTTGTAAAAGTGTTAACTACTCATGTTCACAAAGACCTTCTTTATTTTCATTTTGGGGTTTTTTGAGAATAAAAGATCTCTACAGGATCAGCATGCTTTACAGATATTAGAAAAGTTCACAATATTCCTCTGGGATGGAAAGGTACTGTTATTATTGCCATTTTACACCTGGGAAACATGCTTTCTATGCGGGAATCACATCTGCCATGGATTTCATTTCATGAAAGGAAAAACAAAACCCCAAAACTTTCAAAACACACAATCTCAATGCAATCATTCAGAGGAGGCAGCACCAAGTACTGTAAAACCACTCTTGGCTCAGTAGATCATACTGCTCATGATTCCAGCTTCTCACATCTGCCCCAAGCTTCTTGCTCAGCATTTCCTCATATCATTGTGCAAACCCATCTGAGGGGTCTGTCTGCCTGCTCTGCACCCCTCCTTCTGTCACACAATTTTCCATTTCTAGTCCCCTGCTAGGATTTCTTTGCCCAGCGAGTGCTAGACTTCATCTCCTTGAGGTTTTTCTGTTCTTTGAACGTCTCAGATCATCCTTTACTTAAGCAGCTCTAGTATTTCAGCCTTAGATGATCAACCTCAGCAACTCCATCCAACTGAATTCCAGCTCTCTCTTGTATCGTGGCTTCTTGTCCTCTTTCATACCTAAATGGTTTTCATTCTGTTTACATTAGCTAAATTTTTTCCACCACAAACCAAAAGATTATTTCTCAAGTCCCAGCCCACCACAACTACAACTGCTGGTTCTGCCACAGGCTCTTGTCTAAACCCTTCTTACATTTTGTATCTCTC